TAAGATCCAATACGGGGACCCACACACATGTACACCCCAGAGGCGAAGATACGGCACATAGTAGTTCCAGGCTATTGGGATCTGGAGGTGTGCATGTGATCTCCCTCTTTCTCCTAGGGGATGAGTGGGAGGGGAGCTGGCTCTAGGTTCTGCAGCAGTGGGGGGGGAGGTTGTTTGCACAGGCAGGGTGCATGCCTGGAAGGTGGGGGTGAGGCTCAGAGCCAAGGTGACCCCATTGGGTGAGTGGGGCGCGCGGGGTTTTCCAGCCGCAGGGGATGGCGGGGGACACAGCGGCTCCTGGCTGTGTGCGCCGTGGCAGGGGGAGGGATCGAAAGCGACGTGAAACACTCCCCCCTCCACCCAGGGGAGCACGGCTCCTCCTGCCAGGGCTGAGTGGGAACGCCCTTCCCCACGGGCTGGCCCCGGCGCCGGGCAGCGGGCACAGCAGGTGCGCGGGGAGGGCACCCCTGACCCAGCTACTCACCCATGCAAGGTGGGAGCTGGCAGTGGCGGGAGGGGCGCTGCCTGCGGGGCGGCGGGGCAGGAGCCCGGGCTGCTCCTGGGTGCGCTCTCGCTGCCCATCCCCGGCGCTGCTGCCGCCACCGATGTGGCTGCTGCTGGAAGAGGCGGAGAGGGAGGCTCCGGCGGCGTGAGGGGGGAGCGGGCGCACGCTGGGGGGAGGATTGTGGTGGCATGGCCACTTGCTACCCCCCATTGCCAACTCTGTGCCACGCTCCTCTCGCAGCGCCTCCCTGCCTGTCATCCGCTTGCTTGGCCCCAATTGTTCCAGCGTCCCGGCAGGCAGTAACCGGACTTTGTGTCCAGTCAGAAACACTGACCGGACACCCAGTCAGGTGCCCTTTTCGACTGGACTTTCCAATCCCGGCAACCCTAGTGTGTGGCGTGGCGCAGTGAACCGAGGCGGAGCTGGGACGACCGGCTCCTTTGGGAACAGTGGAGCTGTAAATACTGCGAGTGTCCAGCGGACTGGGGGCTGGACTCTCCAGGGGGACGCGCGGAGGGCTCAGGGGTGATCACGGGGACCTGCAGAGGGACGGCAGAGCCTGCGCAGGCGGAGAGGGGAGCGCTTGATTTGCCACTGGCCGGCGGAGTCGGGGACCTGAGCCCCGGCAGGCCCTGCCAATGCTCCCTCATGCTAAGGATGGGTGGTAGCGAGGTGCCGCACAGCCCTGGGTACCCCGGGGAAGCCTTGCGGGGGGCTCCTTAGGTGACGCCTCAACAGAAATAAAGCACCCGTGCTAAAACTCCCTGTGTCCCCCGAATGCTCGGCCTTTGCAGCATGGCTGGAGGAGGAACGGAGCCGGCTCCGGGGCACGGGGGGAGATGAATTCTAGGCCTGCAGCGAATGCCAGTCCCAGGCCTTAGAGACCTCCAGGAGCAAACCACGGGCCACAGCTCAGCCCCAGGTGCTGATGGAGAGACGCTGGCCTCCATGGAGGGCTGAGCCAAAGCTGACACGGAGCCACCGGGAGTGGGGGGGAGGTGTCCCATCAGGCCCCCAACAAGATGCTGCTTTGGGGGCTGGCTCAAGGCGCCTCACCAGTGCTCTCTGGTCACTGAGCTTCACAAACGCCCTGGGAGCACCCCCCTCCCCTCACTATACAGACAGGAAACCCAGGACATGCGGAGAATGTGACTCGAACACCATCAAACGGGGACTCAGGGCAGACGAGAACCCAGCTCCCCCCGCTCTAACCACTAGACCCTACTCCCCTCCCAGAGCTGGGGATAGAAGCCACTATGCAATGCTCCCTTTCTTAAACATCCTGCTGCAGCAGACGAAGCTGCTCAAACATCTGATGGCGTTGCCCCTTTCTGGGGCTCAGCCATCCAGCGTCCGTCATCTCCGCCCTGCACCCCGGGGGATCCCCTGCCTTATACCTCCTGCTGGCAGAGAGCAGAATCCCATCCTGGAGGCTGGGCACACAGACTGCCCCCCCGGCCATCCATCTGATGCCTGCTGCTAATATGGGGGAGCAGCCGGGCAACCCCCGCTGGCATAGCCAGGCCGCCCCACTCCGCCCGCGGCTCCCGGCCCCAGCAATTCCCTCTGTCGCTGTGGCTACGACCGCCAGGGGCACAGGTCACCAGCTACTCCCGAGGAGGCACATGGAGATGCCGCCCAGCGGCAATCTCCTTCCCCCCTGCACACACCAGGGCTAGAAGGTGGAAGAGAAACCTTGTCTTTGAACAAACCTTTCCCAGAGGAGCAAAGCCCCATAGAGCTCGGCACACAAGCCCTCCTGCTGCTCAGGGCCCCAGAGAGGGGCCGAGGCCTATGGGGGAGACACCCCAATCATGCCACTCAGTTTAGATCCAGTGCCCCTAAGCGTCAGGCTCAAGGATTCACATCTCTCTCGGTCCGATACAGCTGCCAGCGTTGATGGATGGAGGGCTGCAGCACCCCCAGGAGACAGGGAAGCATGGCTATCCCGCAGGTAAACCGAGGCCCAGGAGCAACTCAGAGGCAGGAAATGAACCAGAGGCAGGAAATGAATGTTCCAGGCCAGCCTGCCTTCCCCTTGCTGGCTGAATGGGGACTCCTAGGCTAGCAGGAGCTGGGCGCGTTTGGCCACAGTGACCGGGAAGGGACCTGCCTCCTTGCTCTTCGCAGGCAATACACGAGCACATGCGCTGCTGTTCTCCTCTGCCGTGTAATTCCGGCGACTCTGCCAAGGTAAACCCCTGTCTGGCTACAGCCTCGCGGGAGCATCTAAGCATCACGCTTGGACCTTCACAGGCACGCAGCTCGGACCCTCCTGCTCCACAAGCACAGCTCTGCCCCTGCCCCTCCTCGCTGCTCGGCCTAAAGGAGACGCGCCGCATGCAGTAGAGGGTTTATGACCCACGGCTGGGCAGCTCCGATTGCATCCAGTAGGGGGCAGGGCTGAAACACACTCAAGGATGCAGCTTGCACCGCTGCTGCTGCCGCCTTCGACTGGCTGGAATCAGAACGTCTCTGCTGTGTGTCATAGACCCCAATACCACTGCTGGGGATTCTCCTTGTGCTCAAGGAGTGATGGGGGTGCTCTCAGAGCAGCAAGAGCTGGTCTCAGGGACTTGATGGGCTTCTAACTTCTGTCAACTACTAAGCCTGGGCTACAGGCATATTTAAGCCCCGCTCAATCCACATCCCTTAGCAAGTGCAGGGTCCCTCTGGACCACGCCTTCTCCAAGCCTTTGTCCAGCCTCACACCCCGTCCATTATGAAGCCCATTCCCAGCCCAGCAGATCTCAGATTCGAGCAGCTCGTCCTGAGATTCAGCCTTCAGCCCAGCTCATCCCGTCAATGCGGCTGTCTAGGCCAGAGCTGCAGTAAGGCCGTTTAGACACACTCCTTCAACAGATGGAAAAACCCCTTCACCTTCTTCTAAATGTCAGTTATAATGTGTATCCAGAGACATCTGTTTTTACATAGGCTGAGGCCTTCCGCTGCTGCTAAAAATCGATAGGCAAAATTCCCCCATGTTCATTACAAACGTCTCATCGGCACGGACACCCCTCAGCCCCAGGTGCAAACTCTGCAGGGGATCCCCCAGGCACAAGATGGCAATGCAACGTGCATGCCGATTTCAAGGGACTGAATTCACAGGCTGGTCAATCAGTAGGGCACTGCAGTCAGCACGCCAGTGCAGATCTCAAATGCAGTGGCGTGATTCCACTGAGTGCAGTGCCATGCTGATCGCACAGGCAGTGAAATCAGCCCCCTGCGAGCGAGATCTGCACTGAGTTGCAGCGGTGTGCTGATAAAAGCGGATTGATTCCACTGACTGCAGTGCACTGTTGATTGCATGGCCACTGAAATCAGCCCACTGCAATGGAGATCCACACTGAATTGCAATGACTGTGGTGCAGGAGGCTGATTTCGCCCGCTATCCAGTCAGTCCTGCCTTGCAATAGAGCGCTGCACTGAGTCGCTAAGCTACACTGATTGCAGTGGACTGATTGCAGAGTCAGTGAAATCAGCCCACTGCAATCAAGATCCACACTGACCGGCAGTGTAAATACGGAATCGTCACCCTACACTTCAGAGAACACTCCACGGAGATCTGCAGTGCCCGATTCACTGCACTGATTCCAGCTGAGCACGGCCCAGGGACATAGTGCAAGATTCCATCCTGGGGCAATTCTCATTGACATCAGTGGAAGCTGCGCCCTCTTACACCAGAGCTGGATTTAACCCAGGCCGCAAGGTCCTGATTAACAGAGGTGCTAAACACCTGGCCCTGCCCCTTGATTTCAACTCGAGTTGGGAGCACCCAGCACTTCTGAGAGCCAGGCTTTGGAGCATGGTGAATGACACGGATGTCTGTGAAGAAATCTGGAAATCCACCCGAAATGGCCAGCGCCTGCAGCATGTCCACTGAATTGCATTGAGATGCCAGTGATTGCAACGCACCTACCGAAGCGCATCGATTTCAGAAATCACGCATGGATTGCAGCACCTCCACTGATTTCAGAAATCATGCGCCAAATTGGTAGCTGACTTCAGAAATCATGTGCCAAATTGGCAATGACTGCAGCGCCCCCCGCTGATTTCAGAACTCATGTACCCAGATGGCAATGATTGCAGCGCCCCCCGCTGATTTCAGAACTCATGTACCCAGTTGGCAATGATTGCAGTGCCCCCCGCTGATTTCAGAACTCATGTACCCAGTTGGCAATGACTGCAGCGCCCCCCGCTGATGTCAGACATCATGTACCCAGTTGGCAATGACTGCAGTGCCCCCCGCTGATGTCAGACATCATGTACCCAGATGGCAATGACTGCAGCGCCCCCCGCTGATGTCAGACATCATGCCCCGGCTTGCCAGCCACCGCACCGCACCCACCGATCTGCACCCATTCGCCGACGCCTGCGCCGCACCAATCTGGAGGCGCGGCGCCGATTCCAGCAAACACCAAACCCGCAAGCGCCGACCTGGGGAAGGGGAGCGGGGCCCACGAGATGCAAGGGACAGGAGTCCCAGGTCACTTACTTCTCCGGCTTCTTCTTGCAGGCGGCGTCCCCGCTGAGATCCAGCAGCTTCCGCTTGCAGTTGAACTTGTCCCTGAGGCCGCCGCCGCCAAACTTGGGCTCTTTGTTGGGCACCTTGAACCGCCCGGGTGCAACGAGGAAACCTTCCCTCTCCTTCAGGTTGTTGACGGTGTCCAGGTCGTTCCGCACGGTGCCCTTCCCGGCCTTGCGGCCCTGCCTCATCTGCCGCAGCACCGCCAGCGCGGCGCACACCACCAGGGCCAGGGTCACCAGCCCCAGGGCGAAGGAGACGGCCAGGGCCATCGGGAAGGGGTCGTCGGCCGCCAGCCGCTGGCTGCTGGCCGGGGCGGGGCTCTGCACCTTGAACTCGCAGCTGGAGCCCATGTAGCCGGCCGAGCACTCGCAGACGTGGCCGGAGAAGTGGGTGTAGCAGGTGCCGCTGTTGAGGCAGGGGCTGGAGCCGCAGGCGTCCACCCGCATGCTGCAGTCCTTGCCGCCGTAGCCCAGGGTACAGGAGCAGGTGTAGCTGTTGGCCCCGTCCAGGCAGGTGCCGCCGTTGACGCAGGGGTTGCAGGCGCAGTCGTCGATGTTGCGCTCACACCGGGGGCCGGCGAAGCCCGGCCGGCACTTGCAGAGCACCCGGCGGCCCAGGTCCAGGCAGAGGCCACCTAGGAGGAAGCGACGGAGCAAGTCAGGCGGGCAGGGGGGTGCCAGGCCCCGGCTGAGCCTGGGGTGGATTTGGTGGGCACGGGCATGGGGCCGGGACTCCGCCATGGATGCCCCAGGGTCAGACTCTTCTAGCGCCAATCCGGATCAGGGTCCCGTTGCACTTGGAACGTGGAGTGCAGCCTGGCGGGGCACCGCCCCCCCAGACAATTCCCCGCCCCGGCAGGGCCCCGGGCACTGTGGGCACCTTGGACTCTCCTGCTCTCTGCCTTCGGCCTGGAGCTATTGGGGTCAACTCCGGGGGTCCGAAGGGCCCGTGCGCCACAGGAGGCCAGACTAGATGAGCTAACGGTCCTATCTGGGCTGGGCCTGGTACACAGATATTAGACCAAGATCTCAGGCGATCTGCTTTCCCCGATCAGAGCCGGGGGAACAGGAAGAGCTGTAAATGGCTCATCCAAGGTTCCCCAGGTGCCAGGCCTGGGACTAGAACCCAGGAGTCCTGAGTTCCAGTCCATTGCCTGAGCAGCGAGAGGGACTAAAATGTATGAGCTTCCCCCCCCCCTCCTCTGCACCCCCACAGCCTGCCCCATCTGTCCTCTCTGGAGGGGAGCTCTGGCTCGTCGGAGCCCGGTTGCCCACGAGGGAGCCCAGTTCGTGCCAAGCGGAGTTCCGTGTCCTGCGCACCGAGCGCATGGCCAAACGGCCGCCCCATCTGAGCCAGCCAGAGGGGAAGGATCCCACTGCAGACACCAACATCCCTCCCAGCCGAACAGCCCGCCCCTTCCCTGGCTTTGAGGGGCGGGTTTGCTCCTTCCCAAAGGAGGGGGAAGCTGCAGTTTAAGGACACAGGAAGTGGCAACCGAAGGCAGATGCTGCACAGAAAGGTCTAACCCTGCCCCCCCCCCCCACCCCACTGCCACCTCACTGGGCCGGAACATCCCAGGGGGAGAAGAGGACTCATCACCTCTCCCTTGGCAGCCCAACCCCCACCCCTGGGATAGTGACCTGATTGTGCCCTACAGCACAAAAACCTTCAGAGTCGACCTCCACCAAACACGCCCCTGCCTCTCGCTGAACGGTCCTGGCCGGATCCTCGGCTGATGTAAACCGGCACAGCTCCACCGAGCACCAGTTGGGGATCTGGCCCCATTGACTCCAATGGGAGCGACACCGTTTTGTACCACCTAGGGATCTGGCCCCAGCGTCCTCCAGCAGTGAGTCTCACTGGTTAACGAGGCACCATGGATGTAATACAAGCCCCTCTATTTTTAAAGGAGTGCTTGGAGTGCCCCCTTGGGGTGGAATACAGCCAGACAACTCCCCACCCTCCCCCTGGGACCCACAGGCCACAGCCAGACAGTGCCAGGATCTACACGCCGCAGCCAGATCCCCCACCCTCTACTCAGGAGCCACAAGCCACAATCAGACAACCCCCTGGGATCTGCAGGTCACAGCCAGACGGCACCCCCAGGAGCCCCTGGCATTGGCTCCCCCAGCCACACAAGTGACAGGGAGATGGAGACGCAACGTTAATTGTTCCTGTGATCCCAGCTCACCGCAGGGCAGGACATGATTAAGGGGAGAGACTGTGTTTTGTTCCATGTCTGTACAGCGCCTGGCACAATGGGGTCCTGGGGCACCTAGGCACTACCATAAGACACCCAACAGCAATAAAAATATACAGCGCCTGGCACAATGGAGCCCTGGGCTATGACTGGGAGGGGGTGTCCCTAGGCATTACAGTAATATACCTAATAGCAATCAAAATGTACAGTGCCTAGCACAACAGGGGCCAGGGCCATGACTGGGACTCCTCGGTGCTACTGCAAAGCTAATTATAATGTTAGATGGTCGTGTGGACTGGGACTCTAGTCTTGTCTTCTAGTTCCAGCTCTGCTTGCTGGGTGACAGGCAAATCAGTTCCTTTTGCGGTCGCTCTGTGCCTCAGTTTCCCCACCTGTAAAACGAGGATAACGATACCAACCTTCTTTATACAGTGCTTTGAGATCTGCTGACGGAAAGAGCTACGGGTGATGATTATTAGGAGATCCTGATATGGTGCCTGATCCCGCTTTGGGCTGTAAACCCAGAGCATTTCACACTGGGTCCGGATTGGCACTGGTGTAACCACTTGGGTCCCAGATTGGTCCCTTCTGAGCCCCCAGAGCAACCTCTCTGGTTTTGCTACTTCTCATTCCCGGTAGCTGGATTAGCCGGATTCCAGTCCAGCTCCTGATTCGTCGTCTCCTCATCACCAGCACCACCAAAGGAAGAGTTAGCCCTGTTCCCAGCATGGGGGCAAATGCTGCTCCTCTTTACCCCGGTGCAATGCCTGGGTGTACAGTGCAGGAGGAAAAGGAGAAGAATGGCTGGATACTGCTCTATTTACAACCCACCCTTCCCCGCGCTCCAGATCCTGGGGCTGGCTGATCCCAGCAGAAGTCAGAGCAGCCCCAAGGCTGTTGTAACTTAGAGTTGCTGGCCACGCCCCTTCCCCCCCCCAAGGGAGAATCCCCAGCCAGCTGTGCTTCTCCCCAGCCACGCCCCTTATCCCAGGAGATAGAATTCTGTCTCGGTGCTTCTCATCCATAGGGCCTCAGATGCCAAGGCCAGACGGGCCCGTTGTGATCATCTGGCTCCCCTGTGTAGCGCAGGCCATAGAACTTGGCTGAAGTAATTCCTGTTTGAATTAGAGCAGGTCTTTTCAAACAAAAATCCAGCCTGGATTTAAAAATTGCCAGCGACGAAGAACCCGCCGCCCCGCTCAGCAAGTTGTTCCCATGGTTAATCACTCTCACAGTTAAAAACTGACGCTTCATTTCCAGCCTGAATGAGTCTCGCTTCAACTTCCAGCCGTTGGAGCATGTTCGACCGTCCTCTGCTGGACTAACGAGCCCAGGATCAAATTCTTATTCCCCACGTGGCTACGGGTAGGCTGGGGTCAAGTCACCTCTTAACCTTCTCTTTGCTAAGCTAAAGAGATTGAGCTCCTTAAGCCTCTCACTAGAAGGCTTCCCGATCCCTTGAGCAGTCTCACAGCTCTTCTCTGACCCCTCTGCAACTTACCACCATCCTTCTGTGCCCCACCTCCACCGACGTCCTGGATTGAGTACGCCAGCGAGGGCACAATTTGGCTTGCTGGATCCTTACCTTACCAGTCAAGCCAGGAAGAGCCCAGAGTGACCCTCAGCTCCCCGGGGCGGGGGGGGGGGGGGGGGGGGGGGGCATCTCTTTCACGCACAGCTCCCTTGCCTCTTGGGACTCTCCTCCATGTGTATAAGCAGCTTCCCATCTAAGCATTTGCCACGTTAGACTTCAGCGCCTTTTTGACGCGCTTCCTCGCCCTCTTTGAGCTCCCCCTTTCGGAAGGTGAGTGCTAACTTTTGGAACGAATCTTCCCTACTCGGGCTGTTCAGCTTCAACCTACGAGCCGAATTCCAGCACCAGCGGCAGGCCCCATTGTGCCGGGCGCTGCACAGACAGAGAGACAGCCCCTGCCCCAAAGAGCTCACAAGCTAATACACCAATCAAGACTGGATGTTTTTTGCCCCCTAGAAGATCTGCTCTAGTTCAAACCAGAAATCCGATGAGGTTCAACAAGGACAAGTGCAGAGTCCTGCATTCAGGACGGAAGAATCCCATGCACCGCTACAGACTAGGGACCGAGTGGCTAAGCGGCAGTTCTGCAGAAAAGGACCTGGGGATTACAGTGGACGAGAAGCTGGCTATGAGTCAGCAGTGGGCCCTTGTTGCCAAGAAGGCCAACGGCATATTGGGCTGTATTAGTAGGAGCATTGTGAGCAGATCGAGGGCAGTGATTATCCCCCTCTATTCGGCACTGGTGAGGCCACACCTGGAGTATTGTGTTCAGTTTTGGGCCCCCTACTACAGAAGGGATGTGGACAAATTGGAGAGAGTCCAGCGGAGGACAACGAAAATGATGAGAGGGCTGGGGCACATGACTTACGAGGAGAGGCTGAGGGAACTGGGGTTATTTAGTCTGCAGAAGAGAAGAGTGAGGGGGGATTTGATAGCAGCCTTCAACTACCTGAAGGGGGGTTCCAAAGAGGATGGAGCTCGGCTGTTCTCAGTGGTGGCAGATGACAGAACCAGGAGCAATGGTCTCAAGTTGCAGTGGGGGAGGTCTAGGTTGGATACTAGGAAACACCATTTCCCTAGGAGGGTGGTGAAGCACTGGAATGGGTTCCCTAGGGAGGTGGTGGAATCTCCATCCTTAGACGTTTTTAAGGCCTGGCTTGACAAAGCCCTGGCTAGGATGCTTTAGCTGGTGTTGGTGCTGCTTTGAGCAGGGGATTGGACTGGAAGACCTCCTGAGGTCTCTTCCAATCCTAATCTATGATTCTAAGAACTAATTCAGAGCAGTCCTAGGGCCTGGGTCAGCAATAGATGATCACAAAGATGCCTTCTGGCCTTGGATTCTCTGAAGTGTGGGAGGGGAAACTGAGGCACAGAGCGAGGAAAGGGATTTGCGCAAGGACACGCAGCAAGGCAACGTCAGAAGGGGGACTAGAACCTAGGTCTCCAGAGGCCCAGTCCACTGCTCAATCCACTAGACCACATTATCTATTGAGCAGTTCCTCTCCAGCGTGTGGTGTAGGACTGTTGCTTCTATAATGGGAGCACTTAGGAGCCCCAGTCAAGGAGGGTCCCTATTGTGCCAAGGGCTGTAAATTTTTATGGCTATTAGGTGTATTACGGTAGCACTTCGGCGCCCGTCGTGGCCCAGGACCCCATTGTGTTGGGCGCTGTACATTTCTGTTACAATTACATGTACTACAGTAGCAGCTGGGAGCTTCAGTCATGGACCAGGACTCAATGCTGCCAGGTGTAGAACATTTTTATGGCTATTAGGTGTATTACGGTAGCTCCTAGGCATCCCAGTCATTGACCAGGACCCCATTGTGTCAGGTGCTGTACATTTTTATTGTGCTTAGGTATATTTGGTAGCATCCAGGAGACTCAGTCATGGGCCATGACCTCATTGCACTAGGCACTGTGCATTTTTTTATGGCTATTAGGTGTATTACAGTAGTGCCAAGGCAGGCCCACCCCCCCAGCCGTGGACCAGGCCCCAGTTGTGCCAGGTGCTGTACAGACACGCAAAATACAGTCCTCTCTCCAGAGAGCTCTTAAGGTAGATGTCAGAAAAGACACATCAGGTGTGCAGGAATGGGGGGTGGATCAGGAGAAACTGGTTGTAATTTTCCATCAACCAGTTTTTTCAATTTAATCAATGTGAGAGATATTGGGGGGGCTTCGGAGCTCCCCCCAAATACTTTTCAGGGGGGAGAAGGGGAGAGAACAAATGAAACACCCCCCAAAACTGCCCTTTTTTTTTTTTTTTGTTTTTTTTTTTTTTTCTGAATTTTTGGCAGAAAACATTTCCCACCCCCAGGGCCGGCTCCAGGCACCAACTTGCCAAGCAGGTGCTTAGGGCAGCGGCAGGTCCAGCTATTCGGCGGCAATTTGGCGGACGGTCCCTCACTCCTGCTCAGAGTGAAGGACCTCCCGCCGAATTGCCGCCGCAGATCGCGATCGCGGCTTTTTTATTTTTTTCTTTTCCGCTTGGGGCGGCAAAAACCCGGGAGCCGGCCCTGCCCCCCCGCCCTTTTTCGAGAACCCTCGCAGGAAAAAGCCAGCCACCCTACTGCGCTGCACTCCGCCTTTCCAGACTAGTGTACCCCTTTTAGGAGTCTGACTGGTCTTGCGCACCCCCAAATTACACCTCACTTAAAAACGCCTGGCTTGCAAAATCAGACATCAAATTACCAAAGTGTCCCAGCGCACGGCTACGAAATTGTCCTTTGTACTGACCTCACTAGCGCTTTTTACGTAGCCTGTTGTAAAACGAGGCCAATCTCTAGCTGAGTTGATGTACCCCGGAAGACCACCACAGACCCTCAGGGGTACCCTGGCTGAGAACCATTGCACTGTGCCCGCCTTGCTCTGTGTGTGCCTGAGAGATGGCTAACCCCTCCTCCCCACACATCCTGTGGGGTGCCAAGAAACTGCTGCCCTAAATCTCCTTAATTGCTATTTCAGAACAGCGCTAGCCTTCTGGCTTGTCCCAGAATAGTTCTCGATGTAGACAAGGCCATGCCCTAAGAGTTTACAATCTAAATAGACAATGGAAGGATTATTACCCCATTTTACAGATGGGGAAACTGAGGCCCAGACTAAGTGACATTCTCAGTGTCACACAGGGGGGTCAATGGCAAAGCAGGGAATTGAACCACGCCTTGGCTTTGGGCAGAGTCATATTCTAGTGTCTTGGGGATCTGCTCCGCTGGGAAACATCAGAGGATAATATATGGAGATATATCTATCTCATAGAACTGGAAGGAACCCTGAAAGGTCATCGAGTCGAGCCCAGTCCCCTGCCTTCACTAGCAGGACCAAGTACTGATTTTGCCCCAGAGCCCTAAGTGGCCCTCTCAAGGATTGAACTTACAACCCTGGGTTTAGCAGGCCAATGCTCAAACCACTGAGCTATCCCTCCCCGCTTCCAGCCCACTTCCCATTCAGACCAGGGCTTCTCCAGCTACCAGCCACCCAACAGCAAACCCCTGGGAACCTGGCTTGGTGGGGTGAGACCCACCCAACGACTTTCTGTCGCCACCCGCCCAGAAGCTTAGGGAAGAAGAGAGGAACGAACACCGGTTCCCCCCGCCTCCCTCCCAGGCTTGCATGCTGCCTTCGCCCCTGAGCCCAGAGAAGCAAGCAGCGTGGCCCTTACTGTTCAGACATGGGTTATTGGTGCACCGGTCGATCTTCTTCTCACAGTTGGAGCCGTGGTAGCCCAGGGGGCAGTGGCAGGTGTAGCCGCCCGTGGGCTTCTCGGCGCAGGTGCCCGCGTTGAAGCAGGGCCCGTCGGCGCAGGTCATGGCGCTGATCTCGCAGTTCTTCCCATAGAACCCCTGGGGGCAGGTGCACTTGTAGTCGTTCTCCAGATCCTGGGAGCAGAGGGAGGGAGGGAGGGAGAACGAAGCAGCAGGTTCTAGATTTAAATCTGTAACCAGCAGGGGAGGCCGATCGAGCACCCAATGGATCCAGGGACAGGTGCTATGAACATTACGCCCCCCGAAGAGCCCCGCTCCTCGTCAGAAGAAAGCTGGCCTCCCGGGGCTCGTCAATGCTACGGGGGCTGTCCCGGCAGAGCTCCGGCGTCGGAGCGATGCGGCAGAACCGCGACAGGAAGGGGATAGGAAAAGCACCTCCCCAGCGGCCGTCGCGAGCCGGACGGAAGCATTCTGCCAGCGTCCTGCGGGGGAGGTGGGCAGAGCGGCGGATTTCCCACGCCCCCGAGCGCTGTCACGGCCTCCGCCGAATTTCTATGCCTTCGGGTGGTCCCCGCGCTATTCCCAGCTCTGCCGCAGACTCCCTGGGCAGGTCTTTGAGGCCCACGTCCTCAGACGTCCGCAGGCTCCTAACGCCCATGGGAATTAGGCGCCTCAATACCTTTGAGGACCCAGGCCTTAAAGCTTTGTGAATACACAAAAATTGTCCTGTTCTCACTACTTCGCTTGGCAGCTCTTTGGGGCGGGGGCTGGCTTCTTGCTCTGCCTTTGTACAGCCCCTAGCACAAAGAAGGCTTGGTACATGACTGGGGCCCCTAGGGGCTACTGTAATACACCTAATAGCAATACAAAAGTACAGCACCTGACACAGTGGGGTCCTGCTCCATGCCTGGGATGCCTAGGCACTACCGTAATACACCTAATAGCAATAAACTGTACAGTGCCTGGCATAATGGGGTGGGCCTTTTGGTCCATGATTGAGGCTCTTAGGTGCTACCATAATACACCTAATAGGTAACTTAGCCTTGTTAAAACTGTACCACCCCAAGAGTGGATGCAGTTATACTGGGATAAAGGGGCTCGTACCCAAACAGGAAGGGGAATAAGCTACACTGGTATAAGGCACATTTATCCCGCTGTAACTACTCCACACTCTGGCTTGACGCAGGATCACTATATCAGGTTAACAAAAAACAAACCCATGCCCCTAACTGGCATTGTCACACCGGGACAAAGTTTGTGTGTGGAGCTAGCCTCAGTCCTCAGTGGCCAGAGTTGATGCAGGAGGCTAGACTAGATCACCGAAGAGGTCCCTTACCATCGAGAACCCCTCTGTGCCTCAGTTTCCCTTCTGTAAAACTGGGAGAATAATTCTAACTCTCTCTGTCCTATTTCAACTGTGCTCTTCAGGACAGGGATTGATCCTCACTCTGTCTGGGCAGCGCCCGGCGCGACAGGGCCCTCATCTTGATTGTGGCCTCTAAGTCTCCCATAATAGTAAAGGTGCAGCAGTGGCCAGAAAACGCAAAACGTTAAAGTGGCAGAAGGAATGAGATGGGACATAGCAGAAAATATTCCCATGTGTATTCTACAAGGACATTCTGGCTTGGGCTAACTGCATTCCATTCAGGTCACACCATGGAATACAGCAATGACATACAGAGGGATTTCGTAGATAGGCAGGGAGCCCATTAGAGGTCTGTATCATTACTAATATTTATTAGGTGTGTTACGGTAATCCTCATTCCACCCTCCTGGCCACAGTCTTTTTGGAGGGGTGTTTCCTAGATGCAGTGACACCTCCGGACCCAGTCCTGGCCCAGACCCCATTGTGTCAGGTGCTGTACAATTTTATTGCTAGTAGGTGTCTTATGGTAGCACCTAGGCGCCCCAGTCACAGCTCAGGACCCCATCGTGATGTGCACTGCACAGACCCAAGAACAAGAGAGATTGAGAAGGCTGGGGGTGTGTAGTTTAGAATGGAGACCCGCTCAGAGAGAGGATGGAGATGGGGGGGGGGTCGATCGGGAGCCCTGGCTCCTAACACAAGAGCTGCAAGGCCGCATGTTTAAAGCTGATGACTAGATGGTTACACAAGGCACCACGGGCCTGCGGAACTCACTGCCTCGTGATTATTGTCATCACTGAAGCCAAGATCTGGGCAGGATTCAAACTCAAGGGTTGGATATTGGTGCAGAGAATGGGCCTATCCAGACTGATCTGAAAGAGGTGCTTTGGAGGGGAGCTAAACCCGCACGCTTCAGGACATTGTCCAGTCTCTACCTAACCCAGGTCAGGAAGCAACTTCCCCTCCAGGCAGGTTATCCCTTCATTGCCCAGGAGGGGGGGTGTCTTGCACCTTTGTCTGACACAGCTGAGACTGGCTGCTGTTCAAGACGGGATACCGGGGTAGATGGGCCCCTGGTCTGATCCAGTCCAGCAGTTCCTATGGGCCTGATAATAGAGGCCCCCTCGCCAGACAGAGGCTGGAGGCTCTGAGGCTCAGAGAGGCAGCCATGATCTCAAATGACACGGGGGGTTGGGGAAACTGGGCTGATGATTCACTAGGGGGCACTCTCCCCTCGTGGTCAATGCTGACCCTAACGCCCCAGGGCAGTGCTAGGGGGCGCTGTGATGCAGGGAACATGGGTTAGCAGGGGGCACTCTCCCCTCCGAGACAGGCCCTCAGAATTGAGGCCCTCGTAGTAGGAGCTTGCTAGGAGACCTCCGGCACACACCGCCTCCACATCCATCCTTGGGTTTGCACCACCAGTCGTGCCACCTGCCAGTGGGCAGAGGGCCCAGGGGTGCACATAGGTTCTAGGGGTGCCCTAGGCCTGGTATTTACAGACTAGATTACCAAAGAGAGTCCCGGGAGGTCTCTAACTGGAGCCTGCGTCCATCACACAGCCCGTGAGCAGCTCTGTGAAATGTACGTGGGGATACTATGCAAGGGGATCTGTATATAGATTGAGGGGGGAGCCGTGTTAGTCTGTAACCACAAAACCAGCAAGGAGTCCGGCAGCACCTTAAAGACTAACAGATTTATTTGGGCATAAGCTTTCGTGGGTAAAAAAACCTCCCTTCTTCAGATGCATGGAGTGAAAGTTACAGGAAAGCTTACGCCCAAATAAATCTGTTAGTCTTTAAGGTGCCACCGGACTCCTTGTTGTTT